TGGAGACTGGGTGAGCATCTAACGGAGGAGGGAAGCGAGTTCCACAGGAACGGTGCAGCCCTCGAGAAATCTTGAAGGCGAGCATCAGAGGTGGGAGTACGGACAGAAGATAGACGTAAGTCTTCAGCAGATCCACTTGAAACCTTTTGAGGAAGGAAGCATTGATTACAGCATTACTAATTAGGAAATAAATTAGCACAATGTCAAACTGCCTGTAAGTTTTACCCATTCTGTACTAAGAAGTTTGCTTAACTTTTTGAAGTAAAGTTACCTTATTCAAAATAATGTTTACAAAACATTTTGCCAGTTATTCATTTTAAAACGCTTAATGTCTCCTTAAAGTCTGCTTTTAAAATAATCATGGATGTACTATCTAAGCATTATTGTCAAAATTGATGTGTAGGCTACTGACAGGCAGACCAATTCTGGCAAGTTTGCAAACTACATTTCCCATAATGCACACCCAGCTCAAGTTCACAAACATTTCTGTGCCAAAGAACAAAGATATCACTAGTGTGAAAAAACAAACAAAAACAAAATACAAATCCTTGCTGACGTTGGCATGTATGACATTGCCAGGACAGGGAGATGGTGGTGACAGTGACATAATTGACAAATGACAGGATGACAGCAGGAAATGCTTGAGTTGACAATTTGCTTCAAAATTTAGGATTAAATAGCAGAGATGAAAAGAAAAAAAAATCTCCAATGAAACATGATATTTGAGATATTGTCAGCAGGACTTTACATAGTACTCGAGTACTTAATCTTCATGATTTCATTAAGGGTGTGTACTCTGCTTTGTTTTCTCACATTTATTTGTAGAACGTTTGTGATCCCTTAGTGACCTATGAGTCTGGACCTTGTGTCTGTAATATGTTAAGCTTTTTTTAACTCACCACCCATATTGCTTCCAGAATGGAGCCTGTTCATTGAACAGTACCTTCAGGGTTATTCGTGATAGGGGAATTGTTTTGTATTAAGCAGGGTGTTTCACAATTTAGAGTAAAGCAGCTAACCTAGATCATTTTTAGTATTCAAGTCTATGAGCCTAGGATTGGAAATTCACTGGTCAAGTCAAGGCATTTCCTGGTTTATTGAATATTATTAAGCAACTTTTTACATGTGATTAGTTGTTTACTCTATAATCTATTGTGCTCAAATACATTTTCTTGAATGGCATCTCTAAAATGTAAGCTCTTTTAAGCAGGACTCTCAACCACCTCTGTTTCTGTGCGTCCTTGTTGCAAATTCTTGTCTGTTAGTCCTCCCATTGTACAGCGCTGCGGAATTTGTTGGCACTTTATCAATAATAACGATAATAGCAGCATTACATGATTGCAGTTCATGAGAAGTTACCTAAGCTCCCATAGTTACCGGAATGTGTACCCTAGCCCATTGACCCGTGTTTCTTTTCATACGTTTATGTATCTCTTTGGAAATTCACAAACAATTTGCCCCTGAAGATTTGTATTTAATTTCCGCCTAAATAACCATAAGCACTGTAGAATGCTGGAACCAAACAAAGGTGAGTTTTCGAACCTACGTTGCCATTCTAATGCCTTCATTATCTACCCATCTATAAACAAGTTGTCATATCACAGTCCCTCATATACACATTATTTATTTCACATTTCTACCCAAAATGAAAATTCATAAACTGATTCTACAAATTAAAAAAAAAAAAAAAAACAATTCTGGGGATATCAGCGAAATTGTCAGCATGAACACATGTTTAAACACACTCATCTAGACTGGCCAGCCTCTTACACATACATACGTACACACACATGTATACTAGGACGACACCTCTTTTACAGCGAAGCACATCAGCTTCACAATTAATTGCATCACTAGTATGACCCCACCACTACGTGGAACCTGACCCTCTCAATCCCTTCCCTTCCCAGCTTATTTTGCATATTTGTATTGGCAGTATGGTTTTCTATTAGTCATGGTTCATTGAAATTTAATTTTGCTGTTAAATTTATTCACTGTTTAGTAGATATACCCCAGATGACAACATGCATGCATTTAATTATGCATTTTTTCATGGGGGTTATATATAAAAATAGCTTGCAAAGGGTGCAGTTCTCTTGTCTGCTACCTTTACGAGTTCTCCACTACTAACCCCGCCCAGACTTTCTGTTGTTGTCCAATCAAAGACTTCCCAATGCAGCTCAATAAGAAGTCTTTGCAAGGCAGGTGCTCTGGGCAATTGCTGCCTCTTGAGTTCAGCTCCAGTATGCTAACCAACCAGGAAGTAACAAGACTAGTTGTGTGCTAGAAAGCCAATGGGGTGTAACCAGTTAATATATAAAATTGTCAATTTCTATTAAAATCTGCACTTTTTGCAAAAGGAAAAAAAAGAGGACACACTTTTGACACATGAAGCTTTCCAGCAAGCTAAAGCGCTTTACTGGTCTGGAGTGTCCCTTTAAGTAAATCATTTTTTATTGTGGTAGAATTAAATAATTGACAGGGTTATTCAATAAGTGTGAATTGTCTGGACTTCAATATGAATTTAAAATTAAGTTAAAATAGGTAAAGTATAAAAAATGCTGCAAGTAACCTGTGCTTTAGTTTGGTTGTTTTGATCTAAATCTTAAAATTCACTTAGAACAATTCACACTTTGGCACTTGTCTTTAGGGAAATTGCTATTTAGTAAGCTGAGTAAAGCATGCTCAGAAAATACAGCACATGTTGTACTAATCTCTATCATGATGCAATAGTTGCAGTTGTTTAGAAAACGCAGTTGTGGTACAATGCAGAGTTCTCAATGTGGAACAATCACAATAGAAAAATTGAATTGTCCTGCTGATTGTTCTATTTTTACCTTGTTTTTTATTTTTTACATTTCTAAGAATTTCTCTTACTACAAATGTGTGCAATGATAGCGAGTCAATTTGATGTAAAGAAGACCAGTCGCCTTACTGGTATACCTGCAATGCGAGACTGCACTAGTGCCACCCACTAGAATTGGACGCTACCAAAAGTTTTGCTTTGTCTGAATACATTTGGGCAAAAAAAGTTTTGTTTTGTCGGAACCAAATTTCGTCCATTACTTCATTTGTTTTGGCGAAATTCTTCCTTTATTTTAGTTTCGTAATTTCATGTCGACAAATGAAATTCTATCCATGCCTCAGCTGCATCGTAGCGGTATAGTAGTTAACTGCCCAAATTTGTACCCTTTCGGTATTGCAATATGTAAGGGTACCGATATAGGGGTCTGTTTAGTAGATAGCTCCTTTTTGGTATCCTTATGGTAACTCCACAAGAATTAGGAAGCTACCTATTAAGAAGCTGAAAGACCTAAATTACAAAAAGGAAGTGCTTTTCATACTTTTGGTCTTTCAGACGATATTACTAATACTAAGTAAAAAAATACTTAGTATTAGTAAATGAGGGAGGTTAAATCCTCCTGCCCTCCCCCGTGCTCTGCGAGTGCGGACTATTAAACGAAATGCGGGACCTAGTGTCACCCCCACCCATTGGCAGCGGGTGGGTGCCCAAATTATTATGAGTGAGAACCTATTGCCCCCCAGCTCCACCTACTGAGGTCGGGTGGGGTTTTATAATAAAAATAAATCCCCCCTGGTGACAAGAGGTCCCAAAGCCCCTAGTCACCCCAAAATTAAAAATAATAGTGGGGGAATAAAATTAATGGCACCCTTTTTTTCTGATATCATATTCAGTTTTTTGTCTTTGGAATAAAACTAATACCTGTAAAATAAAAAAATAATACTTACCACTAGATATTTTCTTTTTCCTTCCAGGACCTGATCGCAAAACAAACAAAAAAAGAACACGGCAAAACAGAAAAACGCTGACAAAAATGATCTATCTTCACTCAGACGTAGCTTGCAGGGCGAGGAAAGACTTATAAAACTTTCCCACACCTTGAAATTTGAGTCAGAGCGCTCTGATTGGTTGGCTGAAGCCAAATATTAAGACTGACAGAGCACTATTATAACAGTGAGGGAGATAGGTAGGTTATTTTTATTATTGGAGACCCCTTGTCACTGGGGGGGTGACTAGGGGTTTGGGGAATTATTTTTATTATTAGCCCCTAGCTGCCGCCAATGGGTGGGGGCTTGAGGGGAGGAAAACAGGTCTCCACCACTTTATTCTTTAGGGCCCAACCCGCTGTCAATGGGTCCAATCTCTATTGGCTATGGGGAGAATAGGTCCACTCCCCATTTTTAGGTCCACTTCCCATATTTAGGGCCGACACCAATGGGTGGGTGCTGGAGAGTCAATAGGTCCACCCCCACTTTATTAGGGCCTCCACCAGCAGCCACTGTGTCCCCTGTTATAATTTTTATAGCCCCCCCGCCCCACCTATGGCCATGGATGGAGGCAAGATCGCAGGGCACAAGTGGGGGCACACAATGTCCCCCCAGTTAATTGTTTAAATAGGTATCCCACCCTGGGGGTGCCAGGTCCCCCTTTACTGGATTCTGTTTATGGGAAACAACAAGAATGCTGTTATAAAGAATAGTGTCAGTCACTAGTTGGTCTTAGAAACATAGAAACATAGAATGTGACGGCAGATAAGAACCATTCGGCCCATCTAGTCTGCCCAATTTTCTAAATACTTTCATTAGTCCTCAGTCTTATCTTATAGTTAGGATAGCCTTATGCCTATCCCACGCATGCTTAAACTTCTTTACTGTGTTAACCTCTACCACTTCAGCTGGAAGGCTATTCCATGCATCCACTACCCTCTCAGTAAAGTAATACTTCCTGATATTATTTTTAAACCTTTGTCCCTCTAATTTAAGACTATGTCCTCTTGTTGTGGTAGTTTTTATTCTTTTAAATATAGTCTCCTCCTTTACTGTGTTAATTCCTTTTATATATTTAAATGTTTCTATCATATCCCTCCTGTCTCGTCTTTCTCCAAGCTATATGTTAAGATCCTTTAACCTTTCCTGGTAAGTTTTATCCCGCAATCCATGAACCAGTTTAGTAGCCCTTCTCTGAACCCTGTCTAAGGTATCAATATCCTTCTGAAGATACGGTCTCCAGTACTGTGTACAATACTCCAAGTGAGGTCTCACCAGTGTTCTGTACAATGGCATGAGCACTTCCCTCTTTCTACTGCTAATACCTCTCCCTATACAACCAAGCATTCTGCTAGCATTTCCTGCTGCTCCATTACATTGTCTGCCTACCTTTAAGTCATCAGAAATAATCACCCCTAAATCCCTTTCCTCATATGTTGAGGTTAGGACTCTATCAAATATTCTGTACTCTGCCCTTGGGTTTTTACGTCCAAGATGCATTATCTTGCACTTATCCACATTAAATGTCAGTTGCCACAATTCTGACCATTTTTCTAGTTTACCTAAATCATTTGTCATTTGGCTTATCCCTCCTGGAACATCAACCCTGTTACATATCTTAGTATCATCAGCAAAAAGACATACCTTACCATCAAGACCTTCTGCAATATCACTAATAAAAATATTAAAGAGAATGGGTCCAAGTACAGAGCCCGTTGAAAATCCTGTATCATATGCACTTTTGGAGAAAATTTAAAGTTCGAGCTTTTAAAAAGAATATTTTATGAGCATTGCCTATATCTTAAGGCACTCTCTGAGTGGATCCTAAACCGCTAAGTAAGCTGTTTACTAGTTTAATTTATCTTACGCCAATAAGACTTCAATGCCACATTGATTTCTGCCCAGAATGTCTGTGAACTGGTATCTTGCGAATTAGGAGGTCTCTCAGGAATTGTTTGCTTAGCTACATTTATTTTTCCCAAGCAGCACAAACTAATAATAAATTTAGAACAGAGTCCTTAAATGTATTAAATAAATCAAGCAGCAATATAACAAAATAAATGACAATTCAGTGACTTTTTCATGACACTTGTCCACACATAACTCAAATCTAACTAATCAGAGTTGACAGATCCTAGATACTACTTTTTTTGGGCAGGTCGTATACCATCTTCACTGCTGATTCACTCAGTGACTGGAAGTACATTAAAAGCCTTGAAATTCATTCTCAGATCATGCCACTAGAGGCACTTCCTCCTTAAGACCTTTTAAAAATTGAAGGTATTCACTTTCTGCGTCATCTACAAAACATGATGACGCTGTATACCACTAAAGCATCTCAAAGACTGAGCAATAGATTTTAAAGGAATCTTCAGTCATGATGACATCATCGAGGGCAGAAAGTGGCTGCTCAGAGGAGACTGTCTCAACCCTGGATCAAGGGTAAGATTAATAGTTTTTTTTTTATTGTTTTTAAAATAGCACACCCGAAATTTAAAGGGACACTATAGTCACCAGAACAACTGCAGCTTAACATAATGGTTTTGGTATCTATAGTCTGTCCCTGCAGGCTTTTCAATGTAAACGCTGCCTTTTATGAGGAAAGGAAGTGTTTATATTAGTGCCCAGTAACAACTGTATTGGCAGTCACTTTGACGGCCACTAGAGGTGCTTCCTCTGCATGGAGATTCTGAATGCTCTTCATAAAGATGCATTGATTCATTGATTCAATGCATCTCTATAAGGAGATAGTGATTGTCGCAGCGCATTTTTTCCCTCATGCGCAATAGCCTTACAATGCTTTCCTATAGAACTGCATTGGATTGACCGAGATCATCAAATTTGATGAAGGAGCAGGGCAGTATGGCGCTGGAAAAAAACATACGTTTAAACACCTTCTTAAAGGCATGTAAGGAGTGTGGCCTGGAATTAAACAGCGCCTTTAAAACTATAGTGTCCATAATACATTTAAATTCCTGACACCATAGTTTATATTCCTGACACCATAGTATTCCTTTAAATAAAAAGGATGCATTTCAAATTAAAAACATATGTATTTATTTTTTATGTTAAATTGTTCTTTTAATTAATTTGGAAAATCAAAGGAACTGACTGAATTAGCAATATGTTTGTGTTTGTGTACATGTTTGTGTGCGTGTGTGTTTTTATATATAACTAGTGCTCGTCACTCTAGAACATATTTGGAAACAAAAGAAATAACCCACCTATACATTTATTGACTAATACGTAAGGAGGTATTTTAACATTATTAGTTTACCTTTTTTCCTTTTTTAAGTAATTTTACAATACTTCCTTGGTTTAGCTGGATTTATCAAAACAGCACTGTCATGCCAAACTTTTCCTAATCACTTCCTCTTCTCTCCCTCTCTCGGGATCTGTTCTTCTTTTCTTCCTATCTCCTCTAGTTTTCTTTAAAACATAACACAAAGTAGGGACTACTTGTTGTGACGGACCGCCTGCCACCTGACCGGGTACCTCCGTCAATCGCTTGTCATGTATTTTTCCTATGCATGACCAGCTCTGACCCACTTTCTGTGGGTCAGAGAAATGTTCCCGCAATACTCACCCTTTGCTCCGTGACCTTGCGATGCCTCCTTTCACTTTTCACGAACGTCCTGTCATTTAGTTTGTTCATTAATGTTAGGACGCAATTCTGGACTTTTGTTCAGATCAGAATTTCATTCTAATGAAGGAAATGCCGATCTATTCGAACCGTCCCATGATATTAGGAGCTATCTACTCAAAGGCTAAAAGACATAAATTGGTCTTTCGGCCATATTTACTAATACTAAGTAAAGGTTACTTAGTATTAGTGAATAAGGGAGGTTTAACTCTCCCGAATGCCCCTACTCGCTATACCGGGAGTAGGGGCATGTCTATTAATGCTAATGCTAAAAAATAGGCTCCCCACCACCCGAATCAATTAATGTGGGACCTAGTACAGGTCCCCCATGGTGAGGCATCTAGAAAAATAATTAACAGGGGAGGACATAGTGTCCTCTCACAGCCCCCACCCGTGCACCGCGAGTGGGGCTATTCAACAGAATGGGTCCCCCCCGCGGCCCCCACCCATGAGAGGCGGGTGGGGGCCATAATAACAAAAGGAAAGGGGGGCATACTGCCTCCCCCTGGCCTCCCACCCATGAGTGGCGGATAGGGGCCCAAAGCAACAAAAGGGGGGGCCTATTGTCTCCCCCCACCCCCCTACCCATGAGCTGCGGGTGGGGGCCCTAAGCAACAAAAGAAAGGGGGACCAGTGCGCTCTGAGTCAAATTGCAGGGTGTGGGAAGGCTTTATAAGCCTTTCTCCGCCCTGCGAAGCCCAGTCTGTGTGGTGCCGTCGCTGGGTGCCAGATGGATTGTTTTTTTAACTTTGGGGTGTTTTTTTTTCGGCCTGTTTTTTTATTTTGTGCTCTGTTTTTTTTTTTATTTAATAAATTTGACGGGAATTATGGATTTTTCTTTGGCCTTTTTTGGGGCTGAAAAAAGAAGGTTTAGGAAAAATGAAAAATAACTATTTTAGGGTGAGAGTGGTAGGTAGTTTTTAATTTTATTGGGTAGGGGGTGACTAGTCACCTATGGTGGTGTGTGATTTTTTACATTTAGCCCCCACCCATCGTCAATCGGTGGGGGCTGGGGGGACGACAATAGGTCCCCCCTCTCCTTTTGTTTCTTAGGGCCCCCACCCACCACTCATGGGTGGGGGCCAGGAGGGAGACAAAAGGAGGGCCCCCACCCACAACTCATGGGTGGGGACTGGAGAGGAGACAATAGGACCCCCCCTTTTGTCACTGAGGGCCCTTACCTGCTGCTCATGGGTGGGGGCCGGAGGGGGGAGAGACAATAGGTCCCCCCCCTTTTGTTACTTAGGGGCCCATCCGCCGCTCATGGGGGGGGGAGGTGAGACAATAGGAGACAATAATTGATTCGGGGGTGGGGAGCTTATTTTTTAGAACAATGAGCAGCCACAGACTGCTCACTGTTTAGTAGACATGCCCCTACTCGCTGCATAGTGAGTAGGGGCATTCGGGAGATTTTAATCTCCCTTATGCTAATATGTGGGTCATATTATCCCCCAGAGAGTGAAGGAAGACATTGGGGGAGCTAGGAAGTGGTGTGGAGCACTGCTCCCTGCCGCTTCTATTTTCACATATTACAAGGAGGGAGCTGCGAGACGGTAGCTCCCTTCTTGTAATAAACTAAACGAACGAACGAAGAGGTATTCGTTCATACTTTTGAAATGTCCATTCATTCATATTTCTGACGAATTAATGATTTGACGAAATTCCCATCCAAATTTCATATCTAGTGTGGGCAGATGACGTGTCCCACAGGGACCTATTTCCGGGCATAAAATAAAGTTATTAAAAAAGGTGAATTGGGGGGCCTAAGGGCATTTGGGGGGGACTAGGGTCACTATAAAATGTTTTGGAGTCGGAAGGGGGGTTAAAAAAAAAAAACGGATGCGGCCATGACAGTGCCGCTTCAACTATTGGGGGGAGGGGATGTAAAATTCCTACTGTTTTTCCTACTTATACATACTAACAATACGACTATATATACGACTGTATAACCCAGGGGCAATCTTCGACAATCCTAACCCTTTGAGTGCCACAGGGACAGACAGCATTGCTTACTCCTTAGGCGCTCGTCACTATGACTCTCCTAAGACTTCCACGCATGAAGAACCTTAAAGAACAAAGTGAGTTAAAAGCCTGGTATTCCCACCCGCAAAGTCTGCCTCTCTCCTTGTTCACAAGTCTTTCACAATAGGAGAGGCTTGCAAATTGTGCAACCAAAGTAACAGCAAACCAACCGGCAATTACTTCCTTCCTGAGATGAAACACAGAGCAAGCCCCTATTATTAACTTTTTTCTTGCTTTTTAAACCTGGTTTTGTTTACTTAGAGCTGTTTGAACTGTTTCCAGTGTATGAGGCAAGTCTAAGGGGGCAGGGAGGTGGAGGGGGGGAGGGCCAAAGTTTTGGGCTGTTCATTGGGGATTGTTTGCGACAGTACCATGATCGGAATGTAAAAGTGTCAAAATCTGCAAGTTTCAAGCATATGTGTAACCGATTACATCACAGAGGAGATTATCTAACCTTTGGCATTCCAGCTGCTGCAGATAGTGTTTCACATCATTCTCAGACAGCCCTATGATTGCACATCATGGAACTTTAGAAATTATAATTGATGGCTAAACTTTGGAAAAATACTCTAACTCAATGATAACCACAGTTTGTGTATTTTAGCCTAATTTCAGCAAATTGGATTTCAGTTCACTACCATTCAGAGTTTAGTGAATATCCTGTAAATTTTGGATTTAATGGTCAGAACTGTGAGGTCTTGCAACAGATGGAGTGTTAAAGGTTGCCATCTTAGAATGTAGAGACAGTATATAACATATATCCCTATAGTATATATGAAATGTTTTTTTGTCATCACAAATGTAGGATTT